GTTTTAACATGAAAATTACTTTGCACACGGACTATTCAAAACAAATACTCAATATACTTATGGACAAATCTTTATTTTATTTTATGTAGAGTACTTCACTAAGAAATATGATTTTATATGTGAAAGACTTGTAATATTAACCAAAAGACTGCCAAATTTCGTGAAGATATACCCAATATATTGAGAGTTATAAGTATTAAATTTATATCAGCTTTAAACGAGTAAAAAAGGTCGCGTGACTCGATCCGATTGACAGACCCCGTGTTAAGATTAATTAATTAAAGAGTGACATAAAGCAGTAAAATTTTTGATTCCAGATCAACGGATAGAACTGCTGTTTGGCGTATCATTTATCCGCAATTAAAGATTGTCTAACGATATTGTACCTTTTTGTCTATCAAATTAACTTACTATAAACGTTTCAACAGATTTCATAATATATCAGAACTGTGTGAAATTACAAAAAGATATAAAGAACAAAACATATTGCAAAGGATTTTACATTATTTCTTAAGTTTAATATATTTATTTATAATAAGACACTAAACTAAAGTAAACTTTGTAATAATGTGATATGTTATAACATCAAACCAACCCTTCTGTAACTTTATTTCTATAAAATTCAATTCTATTCATAATACTTAGCTGTCTGTTATGTTCCTTCCCGACTACTTGACATCAGTCTTACTAATACTTTCCTGGTAACCGCCAACTTTAAAGTTTCTCGATATCCTCAATAGCTTGTTTGGCCATATATATGGATATCAGTGTATAAGTTGAGCTTTTATGGGTCGATGGCCTGACATATAGAGTGGTACTTATATAATGTATTTGATGTGACTGGCGGATATTAGGCAAGATACCTTTGTATCTGCGTTGCCTATATATCCTGGTACTTGTCTGAAATTCTCGTTTTATTTTATAAGAGTTTGGTTTACTTCATACTTCCAGTGAAGAAAGTCAAGTTTTTGGCATTGTTATAGTAATTGAATAATAAATTGTAAGATGTACCAAAACCAAAATATACAGCTCATGCATTGTACCTATTGCCAGTGTATAACGTAAACCTTAATAAAGTTTGTTTCACTAAAAATTTTGACGTTCGTCTCAATCTCGGGTGTTTACATAGATCCTTCATTTCAACACTGTCCGGCCTTATTGACAACTTCACTTTCTTTTCATTTAAGCACACTGCTTGCAAATCAAATACTGCGATTCTCTTCTTATTGTATAGTTAACTTACATGTGTATATCTCTAAATAGAACATCACAGTACAAAAATCTAATACTTTCTTATAGTAAAGAATCTGCTAAAGTTTGTGCTGTTAAATCTATAGAACTCTATTCCACTATTATTTTTAAAATCCTTTAAACTTTAAAAAAGATTTATACTTACAATTTCTTGTTTAGTACTTTCGTCAGTCTGTGTATAGTTAAAAACATAATATTAGAAAGTTGTAAAAGTGCATTTCATGACTTTTATTAGTAAAGTTTCAGAATAAGTGAAAAGAATGGACAGAAAAAATAGACCAAACACAAATAAATGTCCTAAATGCAGAAAGTAAAGACATTTCTACATTTCATTGTTTACCTAACACACACACATTAAAAATAGTGTATCTATGTAACTACACACAAATAATAATAATAGTAATAGATCACTGCATATGTATATTTTTCCTTTTTACCAAAATCATTTTGTGGATATAAAGGTACGTCTAAATCTTCTTAACCTGTTAACATTAAACTCCTAAAACATTGAAAAAATCCGAACGTCTAACATGTGCTAGTGAATAATATATAAATATAAAATAATAAAATGTTCTTACCTTACTTGTCTTTTGACTCTTATCTTCTTTACTTTTCATACAATACCACAGCTGGATGAAATAAAAAAAATAGAAAACACCTTGTTCTAATTACGAATCAACACGATTAATAAAAATATTTATGTGGGTTATTCAGACAGTCCTACATTGTTGAGATGATCTACTGAATTGTATATCGTGCATAATGAAATTTATTACAAGACACTCAAGTAAATGTATGTATTATAAAACACACATTTTATTGATATAAGCCAATTAAATCATAAGAAACTATATGTCCGCTATCTAAAATACCTATGGAATGGACTTACTGATTTGCCTATTTCAGTTGGAGTTTCTGCACACATCTCTTTAAAAGCCAGTTCGTCATCCTTGTTGCCAGATAAATGTTTCATTTTACATTTGTCCCATTCCTTGAATTGAGCCTGTTTAAGAAGAAAGCAGGGATACCATCACGCTATGAGTAACTTTCTCTCTCTCTCTGATCACACACACACACACACACACAAATTGAAAAGAAAAGAAAAATTGAAACATCTACCAGTTTGAATAAAACTTCTTCCTGTAAAAAAAATAAGAGCATTCACGCTGAGCATGCAAACCTCGTGTAATTTCATTATCAGATGACTAGAGTGTGATCCTTAAAAACTAACTTCATCTTCAAATACCATGTATTTTAGAAAGGGTCTAATACAATTTCAGAAGTGGAATAATAGTGTGGGCCCATCTATAACAAAAACTATATAAATTGTTGTTGCGTCAAGTGCAACCATCTCTAAGGTGATGTGAGCATAGAATGAAACTCAACCCGTAACATGCTCAGGGTTCAGAAACTGTTGGACACCATAACAAGGTGTTTAAAAACAAATACTTTCATACTAGGAAAAATGGATTTGAAAGGGAGTAAAATGAAGACTCAGGTCTAGTGATGAAAAGGGATCTTAACCATAATAGATGGATGTGTGGAGACAGCCTACAGCGCCAGATCACTTTGTTTCAACTATAAGGTTCTGTTTTGATAAACCGTATTTTGTAAGTATAAGAACTTGGTTTGATCATTGAACTGAAAGGCACGGTAACATCTTCTCGTGATAAGGGTTTGAAGCAGACTGGTTTGTCGAACATTAGGTAGCATTCTGTTATTGTACTTAGATGGTCTTCCCAATCGCCAGACCTTTCTGTAAAGTTCACCATGATTGGTGAAATTCGAAACAACTGAAACTCTGATATACAGTAAAAAGCTACTTTATAGTTTACAATTATTATGCGTTTTTATTTACAAGATAAAGTAAATAACGAACAGTTTACTATAGTTTGTTTATCCAGCGTGTAGACAGCGTATTAAGCATACGCTTAAGGTACTTCGTAAAACAAATATGTGTACGATATTAATATTGAAAGAAATAACAACGAAACTAAATTGGTCAAAGCAAACTAACTTAACTGTATAAGCTCTTTGCGGATTTACCTTGCACTCAAAGTAACACGTTTGATCTTTCTTAACTGGAGGAAAGAATTAAAACACATCTTAATTATTCGAGGTTGGCAAGTTCCTCCATGCGACACAAAACGTCGTAAGTATAACTTTTGACTACTAAACCTAACACTAATTATATATCTTTCATTCTGTAAACAAGCCTATCAAAATTGATTACGTGAGATATAATCCTATTTCCATTATATACAGCGCAAGCTAAAGAATTAACGAAACGACAGTGACTATCATATTTGAATGTTTGAAATACCACGTGATGTGATTATAGGATAGTAAAGAATGTATTATTCAAATTAAATTAGAAGTAAAATTTTAAAGTTCCAGTGATTTGTTTATTTTTATGTTCCTTATATTTGAGAATCCATTCACTCAACGCTGAAAACACACATTCACACGTGTAAGATGTACATGTATAATGAACAAAAAACGATAAACGTTTCTGGGTCACTCTTGAGTGGATAATATGCGAATAGCGATATTATCTTCCCTCCTGATCAACACCGGTTAATGACTTGGACTTCACTAGAGATGAGGAGTTTCTGAAACCACGTTGATATAATTAATTCCTTGTCATGGATATACAAATCAGTGAAAACGTCGCTACTACTAATAGCTATTTCCAACACTGTGAATAGATCAGTATATATATATAAAAATAGGAGCTTAACTAGCTACGAGACCATATCCTTCGTTTATTTCTTGACTTCCTTTTTTCTCTCTTTCTCTCTCTCTTACACACACACTCACACACACACATATATATATAAATTGGAAGTTATATCTTTCAACTTAAGTTTGACCTCGGTAGAATATTGGTTACAGTGATGTATATACAAATATTGGTTCTGGTTACAGTGATGTATATACAAATATTGGCTCTGGTTACAGTGATGTATATACAAATATTGGTTCTGGTTACAGTGATGTATATACAAATATTGGTTCTGGTTACAGTGATGTATATACAAATATTGGTTTTGGTTACCGTGATTTATATACACTTACCTCTGGTATAAGACTCTCGCACGTTTTTACCATCTTCTTAACAGCTTCATTTTCTGAAAATAAAAGAATGAATGTCAGCATTTCACATCTGATAAGAATATATTGTATTAAATACTATATATGCAAACCTTCCCACTGTTTATTTCGAAAGAAATTAATTGTTATCTAAATATTAATTTATGAATTCGCCTGAAGCTTATTTTGCATCCAAGTTAAACTTCTATGAATAACACAGTGAATTGATTATAAGATGATTTGAGAGTTATTGTTATTTTTCTTTAAAAAAGCTACGAAATGAGCTACATGAACTCTGTCCATCTCGGAGAATCGATCCCACATTTTTTAGCCTTGTAACTCCTCAAACTTATTCCTGTCCAACCGAAGAACTAATTTCAAAGAAATATGCCATGTTAAAAACATTATTTATAGAAAAAGGCTTCAAAAACAAAAAACATGTGAGCTCTGTGTCTTTTAATACGTTAAAGTAGCATGAGGCATATGTTTCTGATCCACACGAAAAAAGGGGAAATACGTGCAGTTACACAAGTATTTACTGAATATACCTTTTAAGCTGAATAATTATGAACATATATATAGAGTCTGAGTACATTATATTCAAAATATTTAGGAGCTTCGTCACAATAATTCATGCTCTGTCTAACGACCATACAACAGTTTCTATTGCAAAAGGCTTCGTCGTAAGGCCGTCATGTCCAAAGTAAACCTTTCTTCCCTCACTGCTTATTTTTCATATTTCATCTAGTCTAAGGTGACGACGGTTTTTCAGCACCCGTTTCAACAGTCAGATTGCACAGAAATTCATAAGTGCTGCATCCGGCGACTTACCTGGAATAGCATGAATACCTGTTTCGTTTTCTAGCTGCTTGATGTATGCGACAATTGAAGAGGTCTTATGACTATAAGACTGATCTTGGCGAACCTATTCATTGATTTTATTGTTTCTAGACGGAAATACTTTTTAGTTATGTTGCAAGCTGTTGCTTGGAAACATGGACGGCTTTTGCCACTGATATTTGTGTTCGTGGATTCTCACCTGTTACAAGATGCCTCACTTTGCTTACCGCGGCTAGTGTACGACTTGTTGCACGTATCTTTCTCAATGTTCCTGGTACCCCAAGTTAATCCACATTCCTTTGTTTGTTATGAATATTTTTCATTGGAAAAGGGTGTTACGTACTCTTCCCAAAAGTGGTGAACTGTGGTGGCATCACACTAACTACAAAACTCTAAATAATGTCAAAGTGTAGTCCTGATACATGTCGTTCCACTGCGACTTTTGACTGAGGGTATACTGATTTGTCTATTAAAAATAATTTCAATATAACTTACTCAACCCTCTCTACTTAAATAATATATGTATACAAAAGTATGCATTTGCAAGCAAAAACTAATCATAAGGTAAAAGTATTTGCTCAGCTTCAGATTATACCTATAGAAAATAATCATTATGCTAATTACGTTTTTGATTTAGAAAACTTTGTGGTTTGGTTTGAATTTTGCGCAAAGCTACACGAGGGCTACCTCCTCTAACCGTACCTAAGTTAGCAGTGACAAGAGTGAAAGCAGCTAGCTAGTCAACACCACCCACTGCCAACTCTGGGACAACGCTTTTACCAAGAAATAGTAGGATTGACCGCACATTATAACGTCCCCACAGTTGAAATGGGGAACTTGTTTGGTGTGACAGGAATTAGAACCCGCAGTTTACGAGTCGAGCACCCTAGCCACCAGGCGCTAGAAAATCTTTATGAAATTACCCTAACGGATTTTTTTAAAACGATATAGCAAGATAACGACTTGTTTTACAAAAGTTCGAAACTAACATACAATAATGCATAAATAACTTTGGTTTTCATTTCTATAACGTTTAATTTAACATTCGTTATACGTATGTGTCAACTAAATCAATAAGTATAAAACTTAAGTAAGCTTTCAGCAGGCAAACCAGTACCCGTATGTTAAAACCTAAACTTACCAGTTGTATATAGCAAGCACGTGGCTGCTCTTTCGTCTTCTTTAGTAGCAGTAGCAATCTCTAGCATAAAGCTAGCCAGAAAAAACCCAACGACGTTTATCCTCATGATGATAGTTTTTGTGAGCAAATCTTGATGCACTGGTCAGTAATTCGAAACCTGTACGAGTAGTTGTACACTTTGAATTACAGCAAGAACAAAGCTGAGTCTTTGAAATACTTCTATGCGCATAAACTCAATCAAAAATGAGCATGTATTTTAGAAGGTTGTGGTTTTATTTCGTTGTGAACAGGATGTTTATTCAGGAAAACAAATATAACCATTTGTAGTCACAGCTGCACAGGCTCCGTTACTTGGAAAACATTACTTGATGCTTACTTGAACCAGAGAAAGTATGACTAAACCACAATATATCAGCTGTTCAAACAGACAGACACAGGTTGTTTGAAATTCTGATGTGAAATTTCATTAAGCGTAGTTTCCCAGAAAATATCTGACCTTATTTAAATGTTAGGAAAACACGAAGGTTCAATAAATCCATTTAACATAAAAATACCATACTCTATAACCCAAGCGCTTTCGAAACGCGAACCTTTCTTCTTTAGGAGCAAACTGTTTTCCCCTGGAGAAGAAAAGTTCAACTTTCGAAAGCGCTCGGGTTATAGAGTATCGTATTTTTGTGACCTTATTTAAAAGTTTAATTGAACATACTGAAAAAATAATATTACCTAAGGTTTACTAGAAATTTATGTTCGACATTATAATGTATTTAAAATTAAATAATAAGTTGAACAATCGCCAACTTTTATATAAAGAACTCGCGTGCGTAGTATTTGGAATGTTGAGCGTGAACATTCTAAGCTAAAATTACATCTATTAGATAAAAATTACAAATCATGAAAAGATAAGTAGATAGCAATTAAAATTTAAACAAAAAAATGGAAAAATAAAAATTTACAGAAAAGAAAAACATTCATTTAAACCAGATGGTTGTAGGGTTCCCAGATTGTAGATTAATCTCCCTTCTACTCGTTCTTTCTTGTGTCGTGTCTCAGTTTTATAGTGTATACTTCTCATTTTTATGTCCATTTGTCTCAGTTTGTTGTGTGCCATCGTTCTTTCCATGTGTATGTTTTCCAGGTGTGTAGTGTGTATATATTATTTTCCATATATACTCGTCTCAATTTTGAAGTGTGTATATAGTATTTCCTTCATATACAAGTGTCTCAGTTTTGTAACGCATATATTTGTTCCTCCATAAACTTCGTTTCTGTAGTGCATACTTCCCCCATATACGATGACGAGGAACCCACTTTGAGACTAATAATGGCTGGAGATGGCTTGAATGGGTAATGAAGAAAAATTTAATATAAGTTTAACATAACAGCAAATGTACAACGTTTCGACAAGGTTTTGTCATCATCAGGTACAAATGATATACCTGATGATCAGTACCTGATGATGACAAAATCTTG